CAGGACACTCGCCCCTACTGTTAGATCGTCACCCCAACGTAAAAGTGGTCTTCCTTCCTCCCAACACTACGTCTTTAATCCAGCCCATGGACCAGGAGTTGATTTGCAATGTGAAAGCTGCATTCTCAACAAAAAAATTCCAGCTCCTGAACGACTACACCAACACCAGGGAAGAGTTGCGTAACCTGAGTGACACCACCACCGATAGCAAGAGCGAAGAAGATGAGGATCAACAGTTAGAACAGCAAAAAATACTCTTCAAACAATTCTGGAGAGTATTTAACATCAAGAAAGCTGTGGACTTCTTGGTGGAGTCATGGGATCAGCTGTCTATTGCTACAATTCGTCACGCATGGAGACATGTGTTGCATGGAATACCAGGTGAGAGGAGGAGTCAATCTGTGACTGGTGAGGTTCAGAATGTTGCAGTAGCAGTGGACCTTGCCAGAGAAGCTGCGCAGACTGTTACAGTTCCAGGCTTCTCCGAGACCACCAACGACGACATCCTGGAGGTGATCAGAAATCCTGAAGTGACTGCCGACGAGATGTTGGAAGAAGAACACGTCAGTGAAGAGGAGGAAGAAGGTGCGTCAGTCTCCGAAGAACACAATTTAAGTCATAGTGATATTAAGGGTGCCATGGAGTGTGCAGAGAAGATGAAGTCCTTCCTTTCCCGCGACAATGACGATGACCGCTATGAAGTCTTCCATAACCGGCTGGTGCAGGCTATGGAGCCGTACATCAAGGTGTATCACGACAACATCAACGCCAGCCGTCAGCAAAGCATAACAGATTTCTTCGCCCGCAACCCACCACAGCCAGCCCAAGCCAGTGATAGTGACAGTGAAGTTGACTTTGAGGGATTTGTCAGGGAAGCCCTGACAACTGTAAGTGACAGTGATGGTGATTCACCTAGTAATGGTGATTCACCTGAGGGCCAGTAATCTGCCCTCTGCCTCGGAACCAGCCTCCATCCCCGTATGCCGACCCATCTCTTCTACTACCGTAAGTTACACCTAATTTTTAGTTTTCTAACCTTACCTTTATTTTTCCTATGTTAACCTTTATCTTTCCTAACCTAACCTCTTCTATATTACTTGTTTTTTCATACCATCATAAAGTTAAGATAAAATTTTTACTACAACATAGTTGTGTGTCGTCAAAAAGTGGAGTTTGGGGATCGGCCCGGACTCCATTTCAATTAATCCCATATGTTATGTTATTCACTTTACGCGTTCCTCACTTTCCGCGGTACCCTCCGGGTTACATTAACCGCGTAAAGTGAGGGTTAACTGTATTAATAAAATAATAATAATAATAATAATAATAATAATAATAATAATAAAATACAAGAATGAAAAAAGATAAAAAGTGAGAAACACGACCTAGACCTATGAATTATTATTATTATTATTATTATTATTATTATTATTATTATTATTATTATGTTTTCGCCCCCCAGGCCCCAATGTAGGTCAGTGACTTGTGCCCAGGTGGGCTAATACAAAAAAAATAAAATAAAAAAAATAACCATTCTGAAAACCGAAAAATTCCGAAATCCGAAATGCCTCTGGCCCAAGGATTTTGGATAAGGGATTGTCAACCTGTACTGTATTGTAAATGAAGGTATCAATAAGCACTGCTTATTACAGTAACGTATCTTTACCAGTTAATGAAAAATAAATAACAATATTGTATCAAGAATGAGTACAGTAGACAAACAGTGAGGCGACCCTTTGGAGAAGGGGTCACTTTTACCCCCCATGGACCCTTCTCCCTCTGGCTGGGAGGAGGGGGGAGATAGGGTGTCGACAGCCAGGAGGGGAGATTAACACTTACTCAAGGATTCTGAAAGGGAGAAGTTTAATTTTTTGCTTATAAAATGTCACTGACTTATGAGAATATAACTTGCATTGCTGGAATTCTTGTAATATAGCTATTAATTTGAGTATATACATCCCTTATTTTGCACCACACATAATAATTTTAGTAATTAACTTAGTACATTTGAGTACAGGTTGTGATAAATTATGTGGTTGCTCAGAAGTTTGGTTGCAGTTTTGAAGCTTCGAGACATCACTAGTGTACAATGCATCTCCATATACCCTGGTTTATTCACTGATCAGTTGTCTAAGTGTAAATGAAGGCCAATCGAGCCATCATGTATCAATTAATTTTAAAATAGAGATTACAATGTAAAATATTAATAATACAATGGTTTAGTAGTGCTGTTAATGTGTGTGCTGTGTAAGTGTTTTGGCATGTCACCTCACGACCTGACTCCTGAACAAAGTCTTCATCAACTTCTTCAAATCCTACAATGTGCTTGGCGCACGCACGCACGTGCACCTCCATCATCAATGCTTCTCTCAGTCAAGCCAGATGCCCAGCTGACTGGATGACTGGAAGACCTCTTATGTATCACCAGTGCCCAAGTCAACCAGCCCACAATCCTTAAATCAGCTAAGACCTATTGCAATCACCCCAATACCCAGCCTAATCTGTGAAAGTTTTGTGTTCGACTGGGCTTATGCTGATATTGCAGGAGTCGTAGACCCTCAGCAATTTGGCAACATGAAAACTTCCTCCACCACTCACTGTCTTGTCAGCTTTCTCGATTACATATACCGCCATCTCGAGAAACGAAAAACGTCTGTAGCTGTCGCCTTCATTGATTTCACTAAAGCATTCGACCTAGTCGACCACAATATAATCATCAACAAAGCTATTGACCTCGGGCTTCGGAGAAGTCTTATACCATGGCTTACAGACTTCCTCAGTGACCGACGCCAAGCTGTACGCTTCCGAGGGGCTGTCTCCACCTTTCAGTCACTCACCTGTGGCGTCCCCCAAGGCACCAAGATGGGACCACTCTGCTTCCTTATGCTCATCAATGATGCCCTAAGAGAAACCCCTGCTCGCTGGAAATATGTCGACGACTCCACCATTGGGATCAGCGTCAACAATTCTGCTCCCAACTATACCGCCCTTCAGGATTTATTGAACAGTCTCCAAAACTGGGCCACCAACAACCATGTCACCATCAACCATACCAAGACCATGGTTATGCACATCAACCTCTCCTCCGACATTGTCCCACCTCCTTCCATTACTCTAGGTCCGAACACACTCCAGGTTGTAGATTCCACGAAGCTCCTCGGCATCACCATAGACAACAAACTAAATTGGAAACCACACGTCAGTGAAGTTGTCAAATCCTCCAGTTTCCGTCTCCACCTCCTCCGCCGACTCAAGTCCCTCGGAGTTCCTGCACCTGAGCTCCTCTGTGTTTACACAACATTCATACTTCCCAAGCTCACCTATGCCTCCCCCACCTGGTCTTCCTCCCTAAATGCCACACAATGCAAACACCTAGAAAAAGTGCAAAAGAGGGCATGCAAGATTATTCTCTCCCCTTCCTACTCCACATATCAAGAAGCGCTCAACACACTGACCCTTTCGACTCTCACTGACCATCACCACGACCTCATCTGCAAATTTGGTAAGAAGCTTCTACACCATCCTCGACACCGGCTCCTACTACCACCTGAGATCCCTAGCCGAGAATTGCTGTTCGACACCAACCGCATCCAGCCCATCGTGCACGAACTGATCGCTATAAGAACAGCCCAGTCCCAACCATTGTAAAAATTATCAATAACTTGTAATAAACCAGTGTATTCACTCCCAGTAAATCCTACTCCTTGCACTGTCACTATGTTGAAATGAACTGTAGTTTGAGCTTTTCCCCATCTAGTTATTATATATCTTATTTGTATCACTTATGTTACTTGTATATTATTTGTAATTCGAAACCCATTCCCCAAATATGTAACTGTATATTTTCAGCCTTCTGGCTGCCAAGCTCTTTCAATAAACCATTAAGTATTATTATTATTATTATTATTACACACACACACACACACACACACTAAAAATCAGCTGTTGAGGAGTTTATCACTTGGCAACACTGGTGCATGTTACCACTCCTTTCCACTCCATCTCTCTAATGACCCACACCTTTCTGTTTTCTCGCTCCACATTTTAAAATGTTACGTAATGTAATGTTGAAGGGATACAACTTTGCTCATTTAAACTTATACTTATCACAATCTCCCTAAAAATACTTTAGCTTTTGTGTTTATTCAAGACATCTTCAGGTCATGAGACCCACTAATCACCCACCCAAGAAAGGGTGACCTGACATACCATCAGAAGGTCAGTAATATGAGACCACTAATCCCCCACCCTACCTCCACCTGACATTGAGTCATGTCAGGTCCCCCCCCCCCAAAAAAAAAAAAAATTAAACTTTTATCTTTATTCAAGACATTTTCAGAAAATTCTCTCGATTTTCAACCTCGGAAAATTTGTTCCTAAAGCTGGAAATTTTTGGAAAATTACGGCTTTGGGAATGATTTTCCGTGCAAATTTAAATTCCAGTTATCAGAGAGTTTCGAGTTTGAGAGATTCCAGCTAATGGAGATATTGCTGATATAACAAAATATGTTATGAAAAACGTAAGATTTATCAGATGAAAACAAAAAAATTAATTTCAACAAATATTCCCTTGTGGATAGTTATTCATTTTTCAATAAGATATTTCTCAATTAGTAATTATTATTTTCCCAAAACACATTGTATTAAACTAAACTCGCTCGCCAAGTACAGAAATGCGAGAGAGGGACCAAACACATCTGCGAAGTAAGTTGACTCTATATAAAAATTAATGCACTGCAATTCGATGCAAAATACAGTAAGAGGTTAGGCACTAAAGGCTCAAAATATTCATCACAGCACCAGCCAATGAAGTCAAGTTTCCTCGACTAAATCAACAGCTTAGTGAGTAGCTACAGGGACCACTTAGTTATATAAAACTGATCATAAAGAAAACTAAAAAGTGTCCGAAAAAAATACAGAATTAAATACAGTGGAATGAGTGATTATATAATTTAATGATCTAAAAACTACTTTTCTGTTACAAATGAAACAACACTTACCCTCTTGATTTCCATGATGACTTTTTCTGGGAGTGTTGGTGACCAGGGATTGCTCATGGGTGTGCTCTGTGTTACCAGGACACAACACCGCTGGACATTTTCCCCAGCAGGGTAATGCTGCTTCATTGAGTCAAACAGGTTGATGGCAGCTTGAAGTCCCTCCAGGATAAATGCTTGTCGTGTTAAGTTTTTGCAGGTATAACTGCAAGAAGCAATAAAACATAAGTAACTGATTATTACATTTGATATCTTCTTATCAATCACTGGTAAAAAAAAAGATACCAAAGCAAAATCACATTTACCATACAAATATTGTAAATGCAAGAGGAAGGTAGCAGTAGTTCTTGACAGTTAGAGGGGTTAGGAAAATGTCATTGCCAAAATGTACTAAATGTTTCATCTACGGTGCCATGACAGTAGATCAAACCAAACATTATCACAGTACAGTACTGCACTGAAGAAAACTAAGCAAAATCAAGTTTACTCTAAAAATATCTACTGTACAGTATAAGCAGGGGTGCAAGTATAAAAAGAGCATCAGCTAGATTTGAGGTTTTGATCCAGGCATATGTTGGCTTACCTAGGCTTACGCTATTGTAATTTAACCCATACAGTACTTGGTTGGGTTATGGAATGTTAAATATCACCCCCTGGTTGGCAATTTTTTTTTGTTTTTTTTTTGGGGGCTTAAAAGGTGCAGTTTGGTGTATAAAACTTGAGAATTGCATTAATTTTGGCTGAACTCAACATTTTAAAGCTCCCATGCCAGAAGGTTGGGGCAGGAGGTGTGGCGAGCCTGGCTTATGGCTGGTGACATGCTTACCGTATTGGCACATGGAGTCATGTTTTCTACTCCTGGACTTTAAATCTCCACTGTTTCCCTCACATAATTTGATCACTTTTATCACTTATTTATGTATAATGTATTCATAACAGTTATAAGTGTATCAATTATAAGTTTATTGCTCACACTAACATTGTTTACATTATGAATTGACAACAACACGTCTTACTCCTCACATGCACAACGCCACAAACATAAATATCTTCAGTTTTCCCCAAAGTTTCTTACCTCTACAATAATTATAAAAGTATTTACATATTTACAATGTTTCTTTTTTTTCAGTTTAGTAGTTTATCTAATATACTATAGGAATAGCCGTGTGTCTGTGTGTCTGTTCTGGGCAGCCGAAACGGCACAAAGGTTTTTCATCAAACTTAGTGGAAAAATCGCAAAAAAATTTGTAGAGTGGAACAAACCTGGTCCCATGTCGATGGTTTCCTTAGGAAGGCATTAATTAACCATTCTGTCGCTGTCAGCTGGACGGCGGTTGCTCGCTAGCCAAGCACGAGCATTCAAACTTTTACCAGGCACAAAGGGCCCGCGATCACTTGTAACTACTATATGATATTGCTCAAAGCAGGAAATCAAGCACAGTGGAACAATCACACTCGCTGCACTTTGTGCACTTTTTCACATAACACTATGTTTTTGAATACGTGACAAAGTCTCTGGGCATATTTCTTAGCCTGTGTTGAGGGCAGCAAAGTTGGGAAGTGTTGAGGAGAGAGCAGCTGGGTGTTTGTGGGTGTAGTGGTGGTATGATCAGTAAACAAAGCCCTGCACTTCCTCTCACAACCACCTCACTTCACTCTCCATCTCCCTATTACACCTTGCCTAACAGCATCATCTGACTCAGAAGAGGGTTTTGGAGGGACAGAGGTTGCTGAAACAGGCTTAAGTTTATTAATAGGTTGCCATATGTCATATTTTGAATATATTAATCCCTCAAGGCTATTTCACAAGCTGCGGTAATTTTATGACATCAGATTCCTTTATCTACGCATTAGACCGCTCAGTGAAGGCCACTCGTGTATGTAGACCTACGAATTTGACCATTAACAGGTTAAATAAGCCTCTGCATCCATAAACCAAAAATACCTGAAATACGTAGCAAAATCAACTCCAAGGTTTTCAGATAAACAATCCTCGACCTCTACTAATAACTGGGGCTCCATGACTACAGTGCTCAAATGTTAAAGTACAAGCACTGTGTTGCCAATAGGAACAGAGCAAACAGAAGAGCAGCTGACCAGGCTCTCATGTGACAGAAAACTCAGACAGTGACACTGTCATTTAGTTACCAGTACAGTACAGTACAGTACTGTATATGTTGAGAAAGCAATGAGGGTCAGGAAACACATGTGTGGTTGTGAAAATTTACATCCTTCTCCTTTATTGAGAATTGCCATACCAAATGTCTTCTTTCGAGATAACTTGTACAATTAAGGAGAAACTACTTCTTGATTTGATTCTCTTAATTTAGTTTTAGTCAAGAATTTGGAGTACTGGGATCCTAGAGTTTTTGCCCTTTAGAATTGTCTAGCTAAAAGTGAGTCACCCAATACTTGTCAAATCATAAAAAAATACAGTAGTTTACAATAAACTTTAAAGTGCCTTACATAAAGCACCACTTTGCAATTCTCACTTTATAAGGCTTGAGACAACAAATATTTTCCCAGAGTTATTCACTCTTCTAAGAATTAAAGATTTTCATTGCATCAATCCTTCTGTTGTAAATCTCACAAAGTATGCAACTTACCGGGCATTCTTGATGGAATTCAGAATTTCTGTTTCTGAACATGTTGGGCCATAACATTCCACCTGACCCCATGACCCAACAAGTGATAACTCCGTGCCATAAAACACTGCTGCGTATTGAACCACACTACTCTGTAAATGAAAAAAATCAACATTAGACAGAGAAAGCAAAATTCAAGGTGATTAAGGTTAAATACAACATGAACTATAAATGCATTTGGCCATACTTGGGTGTACAAGAAGCCAAAGAGCAAGAGTGGCACATTCAATAAAAGTCAGAGCTTTAAAATGGTTTCTTATATCATCCAACAGAAGATCAAAGCAAGAGAACATTATGATGTTGGCTTCAGAAATAAAGAAAAATACTGGATATACTGTACATACCTGTGGAACAAGTGAAAATGAGATACTTTGGCTACATAATGTTTTTTATGGGTATTAGCCTACCCAAACCCAAAACCTTTTCAAGTCTTCAACTACAACCTTTATACTTCTTTCCTTTCTAAGGGAGGTGTATGCGCCTACTGCAACACACGTACACCAATAGCTCGACTCACGCATCTTGAATCTTCCCTTTGTGATGTCTTCTGGCTCAAAATATCTCTACCAACTATGACAATTTTCCTTTGCTCCCTATACTGTTCTCCCAACTCTATCAACTATTTAGAACTCTTTGACTATCTCACTTCTTACCATGACTCATTGCTATCCACACACCCAAACACCGAGATCCTCTACCTAGGGGATTTCAATGTATATCAGAGAGAGTGGCTTGGCTCTGAAAGGGATGACCCAGGTGGAGCTGAGGCACTCTCTTTTTCTTTACTTAATGAACTGGAACAAATTATGAAACACCCTACACATGTTACAGAACGACACGATCAACTTACTAACATTCTTGATCTTTGTTTTACCTCACACTATTCACACTCAATTTCTGCCCCCTTAGGGTCTTCTGATCACAATCTTATTTCTATTAAATCAAACTGGGCACGACCACCTCCCCCACCACCATCTAAATTTTAACTATGGCACTAACGGAGGGCAAACTGGCAATCCTTGCAAGAATTCTTCTCCGACTTCTTGGGATGAATGTTGCTTTTCCACTCAATACACCCCGGTATGTGCTGACAGCATTACTGAGGTTATACAGGGTGGTATGAGTGCATTTATCCCATCTTCTACCAAAACTTTCACTTTACAATCATGGTTTGATTGCTCATGTTCTCATGCATGCAGGGAGAGAGAGAGGGCATATCAAGCTATGAAACTATCTCCTTCTCCTATTACCCACTCATCTTTCATTACTTCTAGGAATTGTTGTAAGGCTATTCTTCGTAGGGCTAAACGGAACTTAATAAAAAGAAAGACCGCTGTCCTGATTTAACTCTTCTTCTAGTAAATCCTTCTGGTCCTTAATCAAAAACATCTGTAATAACTTCTGCACTACCTCTTTTACTCCTCTCTTCCGACCTTATTCTCCTCGAACTCCACCTTAGATGATTCCAACTCTATCCCTCCTACTCCTGCTCCTCCTACTGAACCTATGCACTTTCCCATAATCTCCACTCATAGGGTTGTTAGTGTGTGTTATCCAGGTTGGATGTGAGTAAGGCACATGGACCGGACAGAATACCCCCTTCGTATTGTGAGGGCATGTGCTGAAGTTCTGGCCCCTGCGCTTGCTCGCCTCTTTTGCCTTTGCTTCAAAACCCAAACTTTTCTTCTTCTGGGAAGCATGCCTCGGTTCAGCCCATCCCGAAGATGGGTGACCATTCCAATGCCCGAACTTCATCCCTCTTTTAGATTTTCGAAACTCCAGTAATATCTCCGTTAGCCAGAATCCCTCAAACCCGGAAATCTCTGATAGACGGAATTGAAATTTGCTCAGATAATCATTACCAAAGCCGGAATTTTAAAAAACTCCGGCTTTGGGAACAAATTTTCCGAGGATGAATATCGAAAGAATTTTCTGAAAATGTCTTGAAAAAAGATGAAAGTTAAAGAATTTTGGAGGGGGGACCTGACCTGACCTGACCTGGCCCGACTCAATGTCAGGTGGAGGTAGGGTGGGGGATTAGTGATCTCATATTACTGTACTGACCCTCTAAAGAAATGTCAGGTCACCTTTCTTGGCTGGAGGATTAGTGGGTCTCATGACCTGAAGATGTCTTGAATAAACACGAAAGCTAAAGTATTTTTTAAGGAGATTGTGATAAGTATAAGTATAAATGAGCAAAGTTGTATCCCTTCAACATTACATTACATAACATTTTAAAATATGGAGCAAAAAAGGTGTGGGTGATTTGAGCGATGGAGTGGAAAACAGTGGTAACATGCACCAGTGTTGCCAGGTGATAAGCTCCTCAACAGCTGATCTTTTAATTCGCTTATTTGCAGTCACACAACAAGACTCTCACTGGATGCTTGTTGTCTTAATTCCCTAATTCCCGTGTGTGTGTGTGTGTGCAAATGTGGTTGTGGTGTGTGTGTGTGTGTACTCAAGTGTACTAAGTTTAATACTAAAATTATTATGTATGGTGCAAAATAAGGGATGTTTATACTCAAATTAATTGCTATCTTACAAGAATTTCAGCAATGCAAATTATATATTCTTAAGTCAAAGCAGTGACATTTTATACGAGTAAAACTAAATTCCTTCTTTTAAAATCCTTGAGCAAGAGTCCTGGGAGAAGAGTCCAGTTGGGGGGGGGGGTCATAAGACCCCCAATTACCCTGTGAGTGTGTGCATGTGGAGTGTGTGTGTGTGTGTGTGTGTGTGTGTGTGTGTGTGTGTATATACTCAAATGTACTAAGTTAATTACAAAATTTTTTAATCTTATTGGAAACGTTTAATAGAGAATTTATTAAGGATCATTATGGTATCAAATTCATCACAGTTAGCCACACTTGAGTGAGGAAGGGTAGGGGGTGGGCACTGACCATGCAACCCTACCCCTCTACACACCCTCCAACACAAACACACACACACACTACATCCTTGACCACCGAAGGGTCAAAACGTACCTGGCGCTCCTCTCGGAGCAGCCAGGTCAACTGTTAAGTTGGCCCATACCAACCCCCTCCCCTGAACCCTCCTCCCCACCGGAATATCAACAAGTTCTCGCCAGAAGTTACAATTTCATTTAGGAAAGGAACGGAACCAGTGTTAAACAGAGGTGAACAGTGCTTAAGTCAGTGAGAACAACTCAACAGTAACAGTCGAACCCAAGTTAACCTTCACACAGTGAGGTCCCAGGTACCCAGTGATAACGGCCCGCGAGACCCAACAACAACCACCAATGTGTTAATCCATCTACGATAGGAAGGCCTGGGACCAAACCTCACTCATATAACACCATCTGTGATGGAATTACTACACCACATGTCCCTCATAACACCATATGTGAGGGAATTACTACACCACGTCAAGTCCCTCATCACACCATCTGTGAGGGAATTACTACACCACGTCAGGTCACCTCATACACACCAGGCTGTGAGGGAACTACTACACCACGTGAGTTCCTCCTAACACCATCTGGGAGGGAGTTACTACTACCCAGTTTGCTGTTCAACACCTACATTAATCTGTATGTTCACTGTATGTTCCTTTACCTTTCTCTAATGAAGGCTTTTGTTAAACCACCAATGTATGTAATAAGTCATTTATGTCCAATGTATATTTTCAGCCTTCGGACTGCAGAATTTTTTCAATAAACCGTTAATTATTATTATTATCATTATTATTATTATTATTATTATTATTATTATTATTATTATTATTATTATTATTATTATTACACACACACACACCCAGCACATCTGCATGTGTGTGGCTGCATGGTCACATCTACTGTACATACAATACATAACATTAAATAAAAGCTACATATAGTGAGTTCTGCTATAACGCGTGTTTTGATAACGCGAATTTGCTCTAACGCGATTTATGAATTAGGAACGATATTTGTATAACGCGAACGCTTGTTTGCTATAACGCGATTTTTGCTTACTATTTCTCCAATTTTGTGGTACAGTGAGGTATGCTATAACGAATCTAATCGGTTCTATAACCTTGTTCGTTATAGCATTCGTTCGTTATAGGATTAATCCGTTCCAGGCCCCCAAATACAACCACTTAACACTGAAAAATATAATATAAAATTGTAAAAATTGTAAAAAAGTGCATAAAGATGCATCTAAACCCCTGAAATAAAGAATATCATTAATATTTGTAATAAAAAAACAATAAATTAGAAAAAAAAAAATTAAATAATGTTCGTTGTAGGAGTTTCGTTCGTTATAGCATTCTCAATTTTATAGGTAAAACCGTTCGTTATAGGAATATTCGTAGTAGAATCCGTTCGTTATAGCATACCCCACTGTATTAACTGTGAATATAGTAAAGAAGAATATCAACAAGAAGCGTTCTGGTGATAGAATTCCCGGTGATGATCGTAAAAGAAAGGATATAACACTTGAAGAGAAGCTCGATTTTATCAACCTCAAAATCACCCTTCTCCCCCATCAAGTAAAGTGTTACATTTACTGTATGATTTCATTATTAGATATGAATGTAACATTCATTTAGACTGTGCTATCCTTTGTGTTAGGCTAACTACTAAATTTTTTCTATTTCGAGTAATCTGCACCTAACCCTATTTTCTCCATAAGCCCTGTTATTTCTATCACGCGATTTTCTATAACACGATATTTTACAAGAACACAATTATCGCGTTATAGCAGAACTACCTGTATATATATTAGGGGGCAGTGAAATTTTGCTCAAAGCTGCACTCTTCAGGCATTGTTCCTTATACATATCTAAGACTCCATGCCAAATTTGAAGCTGATATGTCGAGGTTTAGTCTGCCGCATTTTCTACTGAAATTTTTAAATTTACCTACAGTACTAGCCAAACAGCCGCTGTGGCGGTGCAATGTTCTGTTCAGTGTTTATCAACTTTTTTTTCATATCTCTTATTTCATTTAAGTTGTCTTGTTGCAGATGAGTATGGTGCTATGTCTATATTGATTATCAGCCTTTTCTCATTTCATTTCTCCCTACACTGGCTGCCGCTTGTGACCGATACTTGATTAGTGATTATGCTGGAGCTGCCATTGCTACTG